GCGTGGAGGACATGTAGGCAATGCGCTCGGGAGCTGCTTTGGGCCTCTTTCGGTACCAGTGAATGAAAACTTTGTTAAAATCAGGATGGGAGACGTGGCAGTTGATTAGCACCGTTTTGCTTTCTGGCTTGGTGATGGATATGGGGGTTTGCTGCAAGACTTGAGCGGCACCACCTGTGCGAAAGCAGGGGAAAGATTAGCACCATGAATCTGAGGCAACGGAGCGTCCCCTTGGCCGCTGGCGGAGGTGCAGGCGTCGGGGTGAGCAGGGCACGTACAAGGAAAAGCAGCCGCCAGGATGAAAGCGCTCAGCAGCCACATTGTCGCTGCCTGCCTCATGGCTTCCTTTCAGGGACAGGGTGAGGGCCAGACTCAAGAGGTGGCAAAGCAGAGCTGAGCAGCAGGAAACCACCCAGTGAGGCTGTGCCAGCTGCGCATGCCTGAAATAATTATGCACAAGCCATTTCATTAACACCTATCGAGAAGGCAAGCAACAAGAAAACCCAACCCAAAACCGCCCTGGTAAGAAGAGAGCCCACTCTTGAGACAAAGATTTTTTTTCTTTTTTTCCCCAAGGAATTTGCTGAGATGATGAGCAAAGAGGCACCTGTTGGTTTTCTAGTCCTCACCATGTGATGTACCTGTGCTAAATTCTAAAGTCAGTTCTTCGTATCTGGAATTTTAAAGGTACGTGGGCTATCAGAGGGTGGAAGAGAAGAGATGCCCCTTGAAAGCAGGCAAAATTGCTGCCCTAAATCTCTGAGCTCAGGAAGCATTTGTGGGAAGTTGCTGCTGTGTGTTTGTTCACTACTTTCACTGTAATGAGTTCCTGCGGGGGAGCCCAGCCTGGCAAGCAGGACCCTGGAGTCAGGTGAGGTTTCCAGCCCTTGGGAGCACAGAGGAGGTTTCGTGTTAGCTGCCCAGTGGTTTTCAAAGGATGTGAGGTCCCAGTAAGTGCCATAAGAGTAGCCTCTTGCTGCTGTGTGATTTTATTTATTGTCGGATGGACTCTATCATCGCCTTCTCGGCCCCAGATTGTCCCTCTAAGATTTTTCACAAAAATAAGGATCCCCTGATTGCACATAGAGAAGGGGCTTTGGAGCTTCTCCGGGTTTGTGTTGGTACCAGTGGATGAAGCTCTTCAGAAAGCCTGAGCCAGAAAAATGGCACCTGATCCGTGCAGTCATTTGCACGGCTCTGCTGGCGCAAGGTTTTGGCTGCCTGAGGCTTTGCCCAGCTCCATCTACGAGGAAAGCAGAGAAGCGGCACTGTCGCGACAGCAGTGAGCAGCCCCCGGGGCTCACAGGCTGGGACTCTCCCAAGACCCTGCCGCTCACATCTACAGCAAAGGGCTGACGCAGCTAGAAGCAGCTGCAGCAGCAACACGTGCATCGCGCGGTGCCGAGCCTGCCTCCCTGAAGCAGCCAGGAGCAGAGGCCGTCCCCGGCAGGAGGGAGCAGGCACCTAAGGCGGAGAAACGAGTGGCTCAGGTTCCCATCACCCAGCAGCAGCTCCGCTAAATGCCCCGAGCTTTTTGGGGGCCACAAGAGAGCTCCTCCGTCTGCGTATCAAAGTTCCTGCAAGAGGTGGTACCCTGCACATGGATGCCACCACCCACAGCAGCTCCCCAAATTAAGCCCTGTGTAAGAAGCTACAGCTTTTCTTGAAGTGCAAGTGCGGGACAACCGAGGGATCAGGCCCAGCCAGCATGGGTTTATGAAAGGGAGATCCTGTTTCACTAACCTGGTCTCCTTCTATGACAAGGTGACCCGCTTAGTGGATGCGGGGAAGGCTGTGGATGTAGTCTGCTTGGACTTTAGTAAGGCCTTTGACACTGTCTCCCACAGCATTCTCCCGGAGAAGCTGGCTCCACACGGCTTGGATGGGTGCACTCTGTGCTGGGTTAAAAACTGGCTGGACGGCCGAGCCCACAGAGTGGTGGTGAATGGAGTCAAATCCAGTTGGCGGCCGGTCACGAGTGGTGTTCCCCAGGGCTCAGTACTGGGGCCGGTCCTGTTCAACATCTTCATTGATGGTCTGGATGAGGGGATTGAGTGCACCCTCACTAAGTTTGCAGATGACACCAAGTTGGGTGGAAATGTCGATCTGCTGGAGGGTAGGAAGGCCCTG